TTAATAAATCAGGAATAATTAATTTTATCTGAAAAAAAAGTCACACAGTCAGTCAGGCCAGAGACAATTCAACTGACAAAAGGTTTTATGTTCTGTTTGATTGAAAATTTATTGGCGATTCAAGTAAGCACAGAAGTCAACACCATCCATGATACTTGAGTCAGCTTTCATTGTAGTTTAGGCGGCATGTCTGGGTGCTGACGAAACATTCTGTTGTTCCTATGAATGAGAAAACCATATATGTAACAGTTTACATATATAACATTTTAATGTGCTATGTTCAACAACTTTGCACCAAATGTAATGTGTTTTTTGTAGTTCTTTTGTAAGTATGAGTTCTGGAACAAGGAGGAGAAAAATGTATGTGTGTGTCATTACACTCACAGCACTGGTAGAGCCTGTTGATTCTGATGATGTCATTCTGGCTCATCTCGGTAGATGTGCCCAGCGCAGCATTATTGTCAGGAATGGGAACCATAGTGGGGAGGCCATTCTTGGAGAAGGCGTATCTGACAGAGCGAGTGACAGATGCAGTTAGATGACAGTGTTACACCAGAGAAACGGCATCTCCTTATACTGGAAGCTCCCTCACCTCTCATACTGCATCACAGAGCTGTAGTCATAAGGAGTTCCCTGGTTTAGAGTGTCGATTTTGTTGAAATTGTACTTCATGTCTGATAAACAAACAAAACATTTAGTCTAGTAGATGTGCAATACAGTACTGAACTAATCGCTACATGTATTCTTCAGAAATTAGTATGTTATTAGCAATGTACCATCAAGGATGTTCTCCCAGATGACTTGGATGTGATTGTCACGGTCGCTACGAGTCTGTTCATGGTTGAAGCCAAGAGCGTGGAGAAGCTCATGCTGCACAATGTTGTGGTAAACGCAACCATTACGGTCCAGAGACACAGTCTGGGTATAACCCTGACGACCAACGTACGAGTAGCATCTGTAAGACAGCGATCCATAAAATATACATTTTTGACCCTTCTCTGAATATTAACTTTATCTCTTCATCATCTTGATGCACTTCTCATCACAAGTTACATTTGGAATGTAGTTTTCATTCTGATGGAAATCAGCTTCTTCCTCTGATTCTTTTTCTAAATGTATTTGTTTGTAGTCTCAACCTTAACTTTTACTTCGGTATTTTTTTACATTGTCTTGAAAATGATTCTGTGTTGGTTTGTGATGTTTTTCTGATTTTGATTTTGGTTGCGTTATGTACCCACTGCGAGATTCAATGCTGATATAGTCTCTCTCATTGCTGCGGGGGAAGAAGCGGATGCAGGTGCTGTAGGAGAAAGAGTCCAGACCACGTTGGATGATCTCCAGCTCACGGGAGGCTGAAAGACCAAAGGTCAGAGCTTGCTATGGAAAGGTTCATCTTTTATTTAACATCTCAGCAGGATGCACAAGGTACATACTTCAGCAAGGATACAGAATTTGACCTACTTTTATCTTTTTATATAAGAAGTAAAAACATAAATCACAACACTAGTGACTTACAGTAGTGGTTGGCGATGACATAAGGCACATAAATCATGCCGTCGCTGTATTTGGGCCAGAGGCAGCCATAGGAGGTGCAGGGATCAGCATTTCTCTCATTCACAGCAATGTCATCCATTAGCTTGGGCTCATCAGGTTCAGGAACTAACACATAAACAGTTCATTTGGGACCGTTTAGTAAAGAACAGTTGCAGCATAATGATGTGTATTGGTGAGTACATACTGATGCCTCTGTTGGCTCTGTGCAGCAGTTCAGACACAGACAGCTGAGCAGACTTGTCCTCAACAACTATAATAAAAACACATCAACACGTTCACTAATGAACTAGTACTTCAATCAGTTCATCATGTAGAACAGAAAGAACCAGGGCACAGCAGTTTGGTGAGACAGAATTTACAGATACTGTAAATACAGTAATTTCATATGAAACCAAGGTCTGAAATCAAATACATAGCCATAACTTGATCAAATGGTACACAACCTATTTAAGTTTTCAGTAAATATATGTTCCTTTCCTCATTTCCTACAATCTAGCAACCGCATGAATGGCAATCAGCTGAAATAGACACCTCAGACATACCAATATTCTCACCTCAATCGCTCAAGATTCATAGAGCAACACGTTTTATACCCTGGTGCGAGTTTATATCACAATGTTCTTTACAAATATGGGCAAAAGAGGTGAGATTGTTTAACCTTGTTTGAAAAAGAACAGGTGTTAAATTCCCTTCACTGGAACACGTGTCATTAACAACTGATAAAAGCATCAGAACGTATCGGTTATTTTTGTTTTTTCCCTTCTTAAAACAATATATTTTTCATATGTAATTTATATTGTATTTTCTATTTTAAAAGCTGATCAACAATTTAATATAAAACCATAACAACTACCATGAAGATATATTATAATTTTGTATTGTGTCCATTATATAGAAAACAGTTTGCCATACATTAGATTTAGGTATCTATATTATTATTATTTTTTATTATTATTATTGTTCATTTATTTATTTTACTTGTATTCAGAGAGTATAAAATTTGTAGCAACTGGTTTTGTGTATGATTCTTTTGTGTACCCACAGGACTGAATGCTGTTGTAGTTCCCTTTAGTGATGCAGCTCTGGACACAGAGGTTAGATTTAGAAGAGTCTGAGAGGGTAAAGAATAAGCTGTTCAATTCACATTCACCTGACTGTGCACTGAATCTATACCACAAAAATCATAGCTGCAAACAAAACTACCAACAGCTGTGAACTATTGCTTTTTCGTTTTGGCTGTTGCCTTCTTTTTTCTTTTCTTTTTTTGTTTTTATAAATCTGTACTTAAACTTAAGTCTGTAGTTATCAGCTCAAATCTATGTTGTGCAAATACAATAATATAAAAGTACTTGACATTTTCTTAAAATTGTGACCACAGCAATTTTTCTGTGGCCACATGTTCAGAGGTGGGGAATGCTCAGAACAGTACTTGCTGGTATGAATAGCAAAAAACATGATAAACATGCAAGTGTTTTTTTCTTCTTTAGTCAGTGAGTTCAGTCTTGTGTAACCTTCAATCTTCAATCAAGAACAGGTGTGAATTTCCATGTCACAGTATGGTGCCTTCACATGCAGATGAATCAGAAACAGTAAGAGTTTTTACTTCATTAAGTATCC